CTAATTTCACAGTTTACATTACACTGTGTTGTTTTACATTACGAATTCTTACACTGCATATACAATTATATGAAATCTTATTTTAACACTATTTTCAAAGTTCACTACTTGTTATAGTCCAGGTTTTGTTTAATTTCTTACTAATGTTACAAACGTGAATGTTTGTGAGTATGGACGGATGTTTGTTACTCTTTCACGCAAAAACTACTGAACGGATTTTGAAATTCACCAGGAAATTATCACGATGGTTTCCAGAGGGAGCCGCGTGTGGGTCAACCTGACATGGTACATTGATAGCAAAGAGATCATCAGTCCACAATACTAACAAACACCTTTCCCCCCTACAGTTACTAGTTGTCAGCTGTTTACTGTTCATGTGTTGTTATTCATGATTGTTGTTCGTATCTGTGACACAGCAACGAATGACCGTCACGAGTAGGGTTGCCCACTTTCTGTGACAAAACAACGTATAAACTGGTTTGGATAGGAAAATTTTATGTTTAACGTATTTTTGTATGCTTTTAGGATATGTTAACAATGTTTTGTTATCTTTAAATGTTGCAAAGCTTATTTGACAATGAACATTTAAATTTAAATAAATAAACAATTCGTTTTTAATCTTCAATTATAAACAAAACCAGCGGATCATTTTTGTACAATTTCGTGGATAGTTAGTGACATCTGTGAGCTGTGACAAATGTCACAACTCACAACTGACATCTAACATTTCGTTCAGTAATTATAAATCGTTAAGTGCCCATAATGAGTATTTTGTTTTACGCAAACAGTAAAATTTGTAAATAAAGTATTTTTGCATTAATCAGTGCGATCACTAGTTTCATTTTTCTAAAAATATTAGTAGCCTAAGTTACTCCTTATTACATCAGCTACCTGCCAATAAAAGTCCCGACAAAATCGGTCCAGCCATTTCAGAAATTAGCCGCAACAAAAAGACAGACAGACAAAAATAGTAAAAAATGTTATTTTTGTGTATGTACCGTATTTATATTCATATGCATGTAGTAAAAAACAGTTATTTCAATATTACAAACAAACACTCTAATTTTATTTATATGTATAGATGTATAGATAAAAAAAATTACAATATCAAAATTCAAGTCCTTTATTATTAGTATATGGTTTTTACACAGAGTACCACGACATTAGATGCACGCAGAGACAACACTCGTTCAGTGTTGCCAACCTTATCTCTATTTTGGGCGTAGACATGCATACTTTATTTCTATGTAAACGTATAAAGTATAATTGCCAAAAATAAAGTAGGATACGTTGTTACAAAGTATGGTTGGCAAACCCTATTCGCGAGTTCTGCGGAACAATACAAATTTACATAAACAACAATGACTTGCTCGGCCCCAGACTGAAGTTACCTAGACAATTATCTAGCTAAATTACCTACACTCCAACAGTACGCTGCATCATTACATAGTATAAAACAAAGTCGCTGTCTGTCCCTATGTATGCTTAAATCTTTAAAACTACGCAACTAATTTTGAAGCGTTTTTTTAATAGGTAGAGTGATTCAAGTGGAAGGTTTATATGTAATTTTTAATAAAAAAAATTGATCTACCATATGTAAGACTATCTTTTTTTTAAACTGAATTATTCAGATTTATATCTTTATATAAAAAATACGTGTCACGTTGTTTGTCCGCGATGGACCTAACCTAACCTAAACCTAAGCGATTGCAAATTTGATCAGCACATTGTTTCCAATTTGATCCAACTTGAAAGATAGGATAGCTTACATCTATCTAAGAGTTTTAATCTCAATTTATAGTCGAAATATTATCTTATGTTTGGTAGTATAGAAATATAGATATATAGGTCTGCTAGTACAGATCTATAGACGTTGTTGCTCGTCTTTATCTCAGGTACATGTAGTTGTGAAAACTATTGTGAGGTGCGCATGCGCAAGGTCGGCTGGCGCATCGGCATATCATATCGCCGTATTATGTTACGTCACCGGACAGATCAAATCTCGGTGTATAATCTCGGTCAAGTACATCAATCATTGTATCACTAACTAGCTCTGCAGCGTGGTTTCACGGGCAGTCTTGAAAGAAATTATTGAAGTCCTTAGCCTCATGTCAAAAAAATATATCTATGTATTTGTATCAGTTATCTAGTACCCATAATACAAGCTTTAGCTAGCTTAACTTGGGTCTAAATGGCGCTGTGTGAATTGCCCTGAGATTATTACTAACGTTTTGAATTTAATTTGTTAAAGGTGTAAATAGGCGAGAGAAATTGTTAGGACACTTGATACGACATGAACCCGCGATCATCGGAAGTGACGCGGTGCGCTAAACCGCTATACCACCGAGGCCGTCAAAGAAAAGAAGAATATATTCAAATTCAAATTCAAAATATCTTTATTCATGTAGGTCTATTACACACTCTTATGATATGTCAAATCTACCGTCAGTTTGGAATGATATCGAGATGAGAAGAACTGACAAGAAACTCAGCTCGTATTCTTTTCAAATAAATGTTGTACATGTATAATAATAGAGATTCATTTTTAAATTCAATTTTTGGAGAATAGAGTGACCTCCAGCATATGTCAAATCTACCGTACGTCAGTTCAGAGTGCTTTCTATCTAAGAAACTATTCAGAAACTTTGCTTTTATTTTTATATAATAAAAAATAATAGTACAAGAAGTTTTTGAATTAAATTGATCACATTTAAATAAATGTACTCACTACCGGCTTTGATCACCATTTTTGTCAAAAGACTAAATTTCATCATCAGACCAGCCCCTGCAAGCATCCCTAGAAGCCAGTCATCATTGCAGTCTATTCTATAATAATGTTTACAATAATACACAGTCATTAAAATTCAAATTTGGGAGAATAAACTGACCACGAGCATATGCTATCGCTAAAATAAAAAAAATTATCAGTGTTCGCAACCTGAACAGACCAGTCTCCACAAGCAGCACTCGTTCACGAGTATCAGTATAATTGTCCAAATATTGAATTCTACTATCAAACAATAGCATCCACGAAATGTTCAGCTGGACACCGATTGAGTCAATTCCGAATTAATCAAGTGTCATGGTCACTGACCATATAAATTGGCATCCAATCGCATGCCCATTATGGCACTTGTACAGCGTGTAGCTGAAATATATACCTACCTCATACTATATCTTCATTACATAGTATACTAGCTACTCGCCCCGGCTTCGCACGGGTGTACATATATTATATATATAAACCTTCCTCTTGAATCACTCTATTTATTAAAAAAAACCGCTTCAAAATCCGTTGCGCAGTTTTAAAGATTTAAGCATACATAGGGACAGACAGCGACAGCGACTTTGTTTTATACTACGTAATGATGATGATGACACTACAAAACTGTGCACGGAAGGGAGGAATGTGATCGAGTGTAAGAAATGTAGGGTCGTTACATTTATGACGTCTACCAATACGTACGACCTTCCGTCCACTTGTTGCCGGCAGCAACAAGTCGACGCGATGTCACCCCCACTGTTTAGTAATATATTAGTCGGGTTTCTAATAACATTGTTTTGTGTTACGAAATATTTTCATTTAAATTGCGACAGCCACAATTAACACAGCGCCATCTAGTCCCGCGGTAAGCAGAGCTTGTGTTGTGGGTACTAGACAACTGATATAAATACATGCATACATTTTTTTTATGTAAATAAATACATATTATACACAGAAAACACCCAGACCTATAGAAATAATCATACTCATGAATATAAATGTTTGTACCGTGCGAGGAATCGAACCCGCGACCATCGGATAGTAAATCGGTGTGCTAAACCACTAGACCACCGAGGCTGTCAAGAGGAAGTTATTAGAGGTATACTTAAACATATAACTACATATATACTATATGTACTACTATAGTACTAAAACATATAACTACATATACTTATATGTAGTTATATGTTTATACTTGACAGCCTCGGTGGTCCAGTGGTTGAGCACACCGCTTTACTATCCGATGGTAGTGGGTTCGATTCCTCGCACGGTACAAACATTTGTATTCATGAGTATAATTGTATCATTCTGGGTGTTTTCTATGTACAATATGTATTTATTTACAAAAAAAAATGTATCCATGTATTTATATCAGTTGTCTAGTACTCATAACACAAGCTCTGCTTTGCTTGGGACTAGATGGCGCTGTGTGAATTGTCCTGAGATATTATTATTATTATTATTATAGAATAGACTGCAATGATGACTGTCTCACAGTCATAATCGTGAACGGGTGCTTGCAGGGGCTGGTCTGATGATGAAATTTAGGCTTTTGACAAAAATGGTGATCAAAGCCGGTAGTGAGTACATTTATTTAAATGTGATCAATTTAATTCAAAAATTTGTTGTACTATTATTTTTTATTATATAAAAATAAAAGCAAAGTTTCTTAATAGTTTCTTAGATAGAAAGCACTCTGAACTGACGTACGGTAGATTTGACATATGCTGGAGGTCACTCTATTCTCCAAAAATTGAATTTAAAAATGAATCTCTATTATTATACATGTACAACTTTTATTTGAAAAGAATACGAGATGAGTTTCTTGTCAGTTCTTCTCATCTCGATATCATTCCGAACTGACGGTAGATTTAACATATCAAAAGTCTGTAATAGACCTACATGAATAAAGATATTTTGAATTTGAATATATTCTTCTGGTCTTTGACGGCCTCGGATGTCTAGCGGTTTAGCGCACCGCATCACTTCCGATGATCGCGGGTTCATGTCGTATCAAGTGTCCTAACATTTTCCTCGTCTATTTCTTATCCTATTTTTTATCATAGGAGTATGTAATATATAAATAAAAATAATTTTTATTCAAATAAACTTAATATAAGCACTTTTGAAGTCATATATATTTGTTTCTTCCACTCAAGAATAAAGATATTTTAATTTTAATTGAGATATTTATCTATCAGCTTATCTCATAATCACATTACATAACATATCTTACCTCGTCGAAGTTGTCCACCATGAAGCATATATGGGGGTACGTCATCTCCTCACCCTCGCCCTTCGTATCCATTTTACGGCGGCTGGGGGACGCGTACACCTGCAACATAGGTTTATATATAACCTTTTTTAATGGATGGTGACATCCACAGAGCTAAAAGAAGTAGCCAGTAGTAGCAGTACTTCTTTGTTATTCTTCTGTGATGGTATTGCTATGATGGATATCACAGATTAGGGGGGAGGGGATTGTTAGTAATGTGGACTAATAACCCCATTGCTAGGGAGGAGAGGGGTTTGTTAGTAATGTGGACTAATAACGCCATTACTGGGGGGAGAAGGGATCGTTAGTAATGTGGACTAATAACCCCATTGTTAGGGGGGAGAGGGATCTAATCTAGGGTAACTAACCTGACCTCATGCTCATATCCTCCACTGGTGCCCCGCCAGCGAAAACCGTTAGCGCAGGCGGGTGCACTGCTAGCGATGTACCATGCCAGGTCGTCCTGCCTCTACATGGTTTCCCCTAGAAACCATCGTGATAAACTCATAGTGAATTTACCACGATGGGCTAACTGACCTGACCTCATGCTCATCTTATCATCCTTCACTGGTGCCCCGCCAGCGCAAACCGTTAGCGCAGGCGGGTGCACTGCTTGCAATGTACCATGTCAGGTCGTCCTGCCTCTACATGGTTTCCTCTAGAAACCATCGTGATAAATTCATGGTGAATTTACCACGATGTGCTAACTGACCTGACCTCATGCTCATCTTATCATCCTCCACTGGTGCCCCGCCAGCGTAAACCGTTAGCGCAGGCGGGTGCACTGCTAGCGATGTACCATGTCAGGTCGTCATGCCACTACACGGTTCTCCTTAGGAACCATCGTGATAAATTCTTGGTGAATTTGTCACGATGGGCTAACTGACCTGACCTCATGCTCATCTTATCATCCTCCACTGGTGCCCCGCCAGCGTAAACCGTTAGCGCAGGCGAGTGCACTATTATCATTCATTAAACAAAAAACGTCAACACAAAATTAGTCGTTAAAGATACTTATATTGAAGCGAGATTCAAATGAAACTAAACCATTTCATCCAAGTAACAAGGTTCAAAATTGAAAATATTTACACAACCTTCGTACGAGCCGCGCACTCATGTGAACAATTTAGTAAGACTTTAAAAGTTATTTGAACCTGAGCAGTAATAGTATCTGCTATTTTTAGTGATAAAACCTAACTTTGACGACCTCGGTGGACTAGCGGTAAAGGACACTGCTTTTCTTCCGATGGTCGCGGGTTCGATTCCTCGCACGGCACAAACATTTGTATTCACGAGTATGATTGTTAGTGTCGGTCTAGGTGTTTTCTATGTATAATATGTATATGTATGTATTTACGAAAAAAATCTATGTACCTATTTGTATTAGTTATCTAGTGCCCATAATACAAGCTTAAGCTGGCTTAACTTGGGTCTAGATGGCGCTGTGTGAATTGTCCAGGGTTATTTATTAACTTTGGAAGTTTTTTTAGTTGGGTTCTGTTGTAGTCAAGTTTGAGAACCACTGTTGCAGCAGTATTGAGAAGAATAACTTGTTACATTACAATAATTTTATAATAAATAACCTGACCCAACAAATGTTATATATAAAATCATTATCTCAGTTATCCACCACCGAGGGTAGAAAATTATTGAAGTACTAAAATCGCTATTAAAAAATAGGGGTTGATGGTAAAAAGGTGTAAATTTTGGATTATATACATTTTTAATACCGAATTATATTTATACAATAATTAAAAAAAAAAATGTTCCGTACCCCCTTATCACTTACGAGTATGAAAAATAATTTACGTCCAATTTTCAAACGTACTGAATATACATACAAAATTCCATAAGAATCGGTCCAAACATTTCGGAGTTTTGTTACAAACACTATAACACAAGAATTATATATATGAGAAGCTTGTTACAGTAATGGCTGAGTGGATTAGAACAAAATAACATCTTAATGTTAATAATATTAAAAACAACAAAGTTTGTGTGTATGGATATTTGTTGAATGAAATGAAATGAAATGTATTTATTTGCATGAAATATGGTATAAATATTAAAAGAATGTCAGTATTAATACTTTGTTACTTTTTCACGCAAAAACTACTGGACGGATTTCGACGAAACTTTACAGTAATATAGCTCATGCATCAGAGTAACATATTAATACTTTGTTACTTTTTCACGCAAAAACTACTGGACGGATTTCGACGAAACTTTACAGTAATATAGCTTATGCATCAGAGTAACATATAGGCTATATTTTTTTTTAAATTAAAGCGTGTGAAACCGCAGGCTCAGCTAGTTGGAAATATGTTATGATGATAGCATGATGACGTCGCGAGACGCGTGTACGCGACACTGACAATTCGCACTTCATTGCTAAAAGATTGCTGTTTGTATAGAAACCTAACAATATATAACACATTATACAAACGCTGTATTTAATTAAACAGGTCAGGGATAACATATATCCAACTCTCTAAATTGTGTTGTAAATAGTTATTTTTTATTATTTTTGTTTTTGTAATTTGGTTATTTGATGTAATTGTATATTCTAATTTCATATTGTACGTCCGAAATTGATAAACTGGTCGTTTCCATATATGATGTAACACAGTTATAGACTATAAATGCTTATCTTATCTTATCTTATCTTATCTTATCTTATCTTATCTTATCTTATCTTATCTTTAGTGGTGAACGCACGGACATCTGATGTGTACTTAAAAGTCCGAAGAGCAAATCCCCGGACACATGCTCAAGAAACTCAGCTCGTATTTTCTTTTAAATAAATGTTGTACATATTTACAGTAACACAGTTTCAGAGAGAATAGAGTGACCACCAGCATATGCTATTGCAAAAAACAAAAAATCTAATCAGTGTTCGCAACCTGAACAGACCCCACAAGCAGCACCCGTTCACGAGTATGACGGATAACATAGCAATGAAGACTTGTATCTCATTGTGTGGTGTGTTTATTAAACTGTATGTATGTATGTAACATGTACTGCATGATCGGAATTCCGCAAATGCGTGTAGGAATAATGTATTTATCCAATTATGACATGCCACTGTGACCATGTCACGTCCTGTCACGTCACAAACGTGTTTATGTGGTGGTAACTTGGTCGAGGTGGTAGCTGCGAACGGCAACTTACATATGGCTTTTTCAAGAATTTATAATTAAATACTTATTACATAGTATAAAACAAAGTCGCTGTCGCTGTCTGTCCGTCTCTATGTATGCTTAAATCTTTAAAACTACGCAATTAGTATTTGAAGAGGTTATTTTTTAATAGATAGAGTGATTCAAGAGGAAGGTTTATATGTATGACTAGCTTTTGCCCGCGGCTTCGCTCGCGTTAATTTATCCCCTTAAGGGTGGAATTTATCAAAATCCTTTCTATGGGGATGCCTACGTCATAGTAGCCCTATGCATGCAAAGTCTCAGCACGATCGGTTTAAAATTGACAAAGTTTCATACAAACTTTCATCCCCTATTTTGCCCCCGTGGGGGTAGAATTAATCAAAATCCTTCCTTAGCGGATGCCTACGTCATAACATCTACCTGCATGCCAAATTTCAGCCCGATCCGTCCAGTGATTTGGGCTATGCGTTGATAAATCACTATGTCAGTCACCTTTGAGTTATATATATATAGATATACATGTACACCCGTGCAAAGTCGGGGTGGGTAACTAGTAAATTTTGTATGATAACTTTCTGCCTACCCCTTTGGGGATATAGTGTAAAGATATATACATTCAAATGACACGATTAATATTACAATAGTATATTATTCATAATCACTGACTAATAACTATTGTTAATGGTTAACTTTACAATAGAACTGATGGTAGTAAATTATAGTGAAGTAAGAATGCAGAATGCAATTTTTAATTAACGCTATTTACGACATATACAAGTAGAGTAGGGTTATTTATTCGGCTTTGTACGGACAGATCCGGACTTTCTACTTTATTTACCGACTTTGAATAGTAGTAGCAATCATCATCATCATCATCATCATCATCACCATCATCACCATCATCACCATCATCATCATCATCATCATCATCATCTCAGCCCGGAAGACGTCCACTGCTGAACATAGGCCTCCAGGATAGGATCGGTCCAGCGCTGCTCGCATCCAATGCGTTCCAGCGATCTTGACCAAATCGTTGGTCCACCTTGCTGGAGGCCTTTCCACGCTGTAGTATCAATAATTGGTCAATTCAAAATATCTTTATTCATGTAGGTCTATTACAGACTCTTATGATATGTCAAATATACCGTCAGTTCGGAATGATTTCGAGATGAGAGGTATTTATTAAAATAAATATTCAATAACAAGAAAGTCCTGGAGTCATCCGAATGTGGCCATAGACTACACATCGTCGGTTAAATAGAAGAATGTCAATATTCAAAATGTACACTTCTTACAAGACAAGCATTTAAAGTTTTTAAATTTATTTAAATTATTTTTCCTTTAACGTTTTAAATTTACACAAAAGTATTATATATCATTTTAAATGTATTTAGATAATGATTAAGACGGCGTGGTTAATTTAATTGACTTATATGAAAGGAGGCAATTCTAGCTTCTAATTTGAAAAATGTCTTTTTATTTAATCAACGATATGCTAAAGTTTGTTATTGTCAGTTTATTTAAAAGAAATATATATATTTTAAAATATGTATTAATAGATTACAATAGTTAATTTGAACATATGTTTTATTGAAATATATACGATGTGAAATAAAACGATAACCGAATCAAAGATAGCAAAACGACAAACAACATTTAAGGAACACGATATGACGCCAGATGGCCGAATAGCAACAATCGTTACTAATATTCATCATTGTAATTTATAATTCCTGTTCCCGCGATTTCGTCCGCGTGGAATTTAACTTCGATTTTTCTAAAACAAAAATAGCCTAAGTTACTACTTATTACATCAGCTACCTGCCAAAAAAAGTCCCGTCAAAATCGGTCCAGCCATTTCATAGAGTAGCCGGAACATATACATATAAAATTTCATAAAAATCGCTCAAGCCGTTTGGGAGGAGTATGGTAACTAACATTGTGACACGAGAATTTTATATATAAGTTGTGTCAAATTTAGGCCCCAATTCCAACATTATATACCCCACATTATAACTTACTGTCATTAAACTGCAATTGTCAATTTATTTATTAACTTCGTCATTAACTAATTATCATTACAACACGGACATAGCTAGCAATTAAATGTAAAATTTTAGGTCTAAATGACTCATTAAAATCAGTTCTAAAACCAATGTCAGTTTCACTTTGATTTGCACGTTTTTTACTAGAAGTTAAAATTTCTTGGTATTGAATCGTAAGTCTTTTTAATTTAGGAATTTTTGACCCTAAAATATGTAGACACTATAATCCCACACTAACTAAATCTATATCAACTTTTGACTTTGATTTTCCTAGAAGTTACAATTTCTAGCTGCAGTTGAATACAATTTAAGAAAAATGAGGCCCTAAATTAGACACTATAGCCCTCTTTTTCACTTGGAGAAAATCCCTCATGCAGACCCCCCAGCCCCGGGGGAGGCAAGCGGGTAAGGCTCCTAATCACTAAAAACTCCAAGGTACGATGAAGCGTCTATTGCCCGAGTCGCGGAGACACCATAGCCCCACACTAACTGTTTCATTCATTCATAATTTAAGAGCTACGCTCTTGTTGGTGGAGCTCTTGCCACTTTCCGCGATCTTCCATCATGCTCTTTAATTCTTGATACGACACGACTCCCATTTTGTCCTCAATTTGTTTGATGTAGCTATTCCTTGGTCTTCCCCTCCCCCTCTTTCTTAACTGTAGTAAGTCCTAATTCAATGTCATTTTTGGGGCTAAATTAGGCACTATCCCCTAAACTAATTATATGTGATGAATCATAGTTGCTATGGAATTCAAATTGCTAGAATCGTCTAGAAAGTTTGAAGTTAAAAAACAGCATTTTTAATGATATTTCATAATGAATAATTTCTAGAATGTTAACACTTGCATTGTCTATCTCTGTCTATGTAAATGACGAACACGCCTGGCAATAGTTGTCATGTACGGGATTTTCATTTAATGTTAGACATATGCATACGTATGTACACAAAGTAAGTGAACTGGCTTTTAAAAATAAAGAAATTCATTTGAGTTTCTAGCCAGTTCTTCTCAATTGAATCTGTATATTGAACAGGATGATAGTAATACAAAAAAAATTACATTAATAAGCGACTAGAATGTCAAATATTCAAATATTCATGCAGGTCTATTACAGACTCTTATGATATATCAAATCTACCGTCAGTTCGGAATGATTATAGATGAGGAGAACTGACAAGAAACTCAGCTCGTATTCTTTTCAAATAAATGTTGTACATGTTTACAATAATACAGATTCATTTAGTTCGAGATGAGAAGAACTGACAAGAAACTCAACTCGTATTCTTTTCAAATAAATATTATACATGTTTACAATAATACAGATTCATTTAAATTCATATTTGGGAGAATAGAGTGACTACAAGCACATGCCATTGCTAAAGCAAATAGTCTAATCAGTGTTCGTAACGTGGACCTGTCCTACATGAATAAATTATTTTGGATTTGATTTGAATACTCACAAACCATCTACCCTAGCAGCCATTAAATATTAATACAATATATAATTAACCGCGCGAGATGAGACGTAGTTTTCCACGAGGCGACGTGAGATGACAGACGCTCGTGAGGCCCATGTATCTTATCTACCGTAGACAAGCGATTACGAAATTCAATAACAATTTGCTTAGTATTTTTAAATATTCTTTATTACATGTATAATACAGTAATAATATAATTTAGAGACAATGTAAACAAGTTAACAAAGGTAGACTTATCCTTAGATTTCTTCCAACCCAAAACAGTGGGATAGGTGGTATCGCAAAAAAGATATCAAAAACAACTAAACAGCCCCATTGCTTGAAACATAATGTTAGATCGACCTCTGTGCGGTCCCCCTGAAAAACATCGCGGTCAATTTCTAGCTGAATAACTTGATTTCATGCTCATCCTATAACCCTTCCTGGTACCCTACCAACGTATACCGTAAACGCAGGCAGGTACACTATTACGTTATCATTGCAAAAAAATTACGATTTGTACAATCTACTACATAAACAGAAATAATTATATAAATATATATTTTTTTGTTATAATTAAAACTTTCATACACGTTTGTACTTTGTGTTATTGCTACGAATTTCCATAAGTGCGGGTTCATTGATGTCGTCTTTATGGGACATAATGTTGTTAGTAGGGCTGCGGGGTGACGGGGTGATGGCGGCGAGGGGAAAGACGGGGGTGGGGAGGGGGCGGCGCGCGCCTCCACCGACCAGCGTTGAGCCATGTCGAACGGTCGCTTGGCTCGACCTGGGAAGCGAGACGCACTGTGTCGCTCGCATTTAGGCCCATTCTTGACTGATCGGCGCAGCGATTAATCAGTTTTTTCCGGGGTTTTGTTTAACTGATACCGGTAAAGCAGTTAACACACCGTTTTTATTTCTAAATTTCATCCTTATTTGTCGAGAAATTATGTTATCTAAAATATATTTTAAAACGTTAGTTATCAGTAATCAGTAATCTGAATTACACCTCTAGATACTCATAGATTAAACTTCACTCATTAATTATGTAACGCATAAACTTGAAATCTTTAATATTATCAACTACATTCAAAGGATCAATCTTTAAATATAAATATGTATGAATACTATACGTATTTCCCTATTTACATTATTAAAATCAAACCGTTTATATATTGAGTCATGTATTTATCAGACTAATCGGTATGATTCACGTCACTCTATTCGATGACTCGTAAAGCGAATTGCCGCGATCGCTGTCGTACCGTCCAGTCAGGTAGCGGCCTTATTGTCATTGTCCCGACAACGCACGATCGCAGCCGAACATTGTCGAAGCCAACCAGTTCTAAATCAGTTTCTAGTACGCGCCAGCCGCTTCGCACGCGCGCTCGTAACAACGAAATATCCGTTTGTTTTTTAATACTAATTCCTAACGCGATAAATACTGCCGTCCGGTACGTGTATTGTAGTAAGTGAACGTCACCATCGACCGTTGCAGTTCGACAGCTAAGCCTTTGACGAGTGGGCCGTTACCTGTGCAGTGTAGTGAGTGCATATAGTTTTCCATTTCGACCTAGTTTACGTGACTTTGTGATTTTACTGGACGCGAAGCGGCCCCTCCGGCTTTCTATCGGTAGTATAAGCACAGAACATCGGAATCGATGAGCATTAGCGTTCGACTACGATGATAATTGAACCATTGATCGTGTAAGTATGCCGCGACCATATGATTTTCTATAGCGTGGATCACCACTAATAAACAGTGACTCCATGTCAACACAAGTACGAGATACGTGTTGTCGCGAGCGATCTAAATTTATCCCTTGCATCTTGAGGCCCTGAATCACTATTCAATTGAGATTGAGACAGATACGCGGCGTGACTATGGAATAGATTCATCAGTGGTTAATATTGTCATCTGATATAAGGAAGAGGGGTACACAATGGCTGGCGCGCCGCGCGTCTCCCTGTCGCGCAATCATACCCCACGGTCTTTGAACTGTATCTCGTGTATTACGTATTTTGTTTATGCACAAGTTGACATTTCTAGAAACATGCACTGGTCCACCGGTATATTGTGTGCGTAAAGTAATTTAGATAAATATCTATCTCGACTCAAGGCAATAAGCGTCTGTAAGAACATTATACATGAAAAATGCAGTGCTAAAAGTATTTTTCAATTAATCTATCACATGGAGCGTTATCTACACTGATTTATGACATATATTGAATATAATCGAACTTCGAGCAAAATGTATGATAAATATAATTTATTAATATTGAATTTTCTCTATTTTTCAGGCACATTCCAACCGAATGGTGATTGGATGACGATATCGGCCCGTTCCCCGGATAAAGAGCCATCGCCGCCAAAACAAATCAACTTTGCGGAGCCGCTGGTAGAGTCTGTGCGGGTGTACCTCGCCAATGAGCTGCCCTCCAAGGAGCTAGCGCTGGTTCCCCGAGAGCCCAGTCCCCCGCCCCCGGCCACGCCAGAGCTCTGCGATGTTGACATAGCCACCCACACTGCGTGTGAAGAAATCAAAGGCATCAACTTCGAGCCTCGTCTAAAACGAAATGACTTAAACAATAACGCCTCGCGGCAGCAAAGCGAAAGGAGCCAGAACGGCGACATGCCTAGCCAAGCAGAACTGATGCAGCGGCAACCTCTGCTAGCGCGCGGTGTAAAAAAAGACGCGCCGCAGCCGACCACCGACGAGTCAGACCCGGACCAAGACCATTCGCCGCAGCGCACGCACACCGGAGACTTCATCGTTGAAATACCCGCCGGGACTGCCAGGGAGGAGAGATATCCAAAAGAAATATGGAAAACTATAATATCTTTCGTCTTCTTGTTCCTATGCGTGTGCATCAATATGATGTCACTGTCGTTAGTGCACGAACGACTGCCTGACAGGAACACGACGGCGCCACTCAACGACATTGTACTGGACAATATAGATGCCAGAGACTGGGGCCTAGCTGTGTCAGAATATCTAATCATGATATCAACGACGGTGGCCACGCTAGTGATCATCTTCCACAAACACAGATTTATAGTAGCTCGGAGGTTGTTCTTCATCATCGGCTTGCTGTACCTGTACCGATCGATCACCATGTTCGTGACCGTTCTGCCGGTGTCGAGCACCACGTACTTCTGCAGCCCTAAGAGCAACAACACGACACCGCTGCTCGTCTTCAAAAGAATGTTTTACTTAATATCAGGCTTCGGCCTGTCTATAAACGGAAAACACACATACTGCGGGGATTATATATATTCAGGACATACTATGGTTCTTGTGTTAAGTTATTTGATAGTAGCTGAGTATTCACCAAAAAAATTGTGGCCCGTACACTGGGCGATGTGGGGTTCAGCGTTGCTGGGCGTGTCATTCGTGCTGTTGGCCCACGGACATTACACGGTGGACGTAGTGATCGCCTATTACGTGACTACGAGACTGTTCTGGACGTTCCATTCGTTGCTGGTGACGCCGCATCGGAGCAACGGCTACAACAACTACATGATCCAGCGCGAGTGGTGGTACTGGCTGTTCACATACCTGGAGCGGAACGTGCGAGGGCCGGTGCCGCGACGGTACGACTGGCCGCTGCCGTGGCCGCGCACCAAGCTGTTCAGCCGGCTCAGCTAGTGACGCGCTCGTGCAGCGCTGCCACCTCCAGAACGTGTATGACGCTCACTCACCTTCTGCGAGTGCCTCTTCAGGACCTGCAGCTCCTTCGGACTGGTCCGCGTGCAAATGGCCAGCGTGAGCGTGTAGTCGAACTGGTGTACAATCAGATTCAAGTAAACAGTCTCTTCCCAGTCGATTTCCGGGTCGCCGATGGGCAGTTTCTTTGAGTCCTTGCGGAATACCTCGACGTCAGTCTGTGAACAAAGCGACAGACAATACGGTTGAGTGGAACTGTGGGCCTTTACATTCTCGTTGGACCGGTGGCGGACTGCGTTACAAAACGCATTCGGCTGTGCTTAAGTGACCACAATAATATGTGAGCGTGCGTGCGCGCGTGTAATGTGATAACTAGATCGCATAGAGCTCATTACCAAAAGCGAACTGTTCTACATTCTGACAACCTCGTACCTATGCTTTTATTGTTGAATAGAACTGTAAGATATTATTTTTATTTGACAAAAAACAATGCGATCGAAATGTCATGCTGTTGATAGAATTTTTGTTTTTGTAAACAATATATTTTATAAGTGGTTATTATAAACGATTTGAGCTGCTATTTATTAGCGAAATGTACTGTGATTAGACGACATGGTGGGCGGGACGAGTGGCGGCAGACATGCGGCCGACGCACCGATGCACCGGCAGCGGTGCAGCCGGACCACTAGATACAGAGTAGTGCATCATAGTCGTAATAACTTCATAATATAAGAAATAATATTTTTGTATTGTATAAAATAAAGTACATAGCTGTTATTAAAACATACTTTTTGTATTTCCAAAGAATTGTCTAATAGAGTTTTGTAACATCCATATGGTGCTAAACTAGAAAATAAATGAGAAATTTTCAATGAAGTAAAATTAAGTACTTATTCGCACCGAAATCCTGATTGGAGTCTTCTAGTGTTCACGAGACAAGAAATGGCATAATAAATTCATTGATAATGTTATATTTCTTTTCAAAAGTGTGATAATAGAATCGACATGCGACGATCTACTAATATATAACTATTTTATAATGTAACCTGCCCAAGAGCTACTGTGCATTACATTACTATACGTTATGCAAGGTGTAGTACGGTGACCACAACACAATCCAATCAAAAAGAATAATAACATTTATCTTCTAAAACTATGATATAAAATTTAGAATATATACAAACTAAACATACAGATATCTCACTATTTATTAGTGACATATCTGAGGATTATAAAACAACATCCTCTTCAAACTATGTACACGATAAATAATTTTATCTCAATTTTGATATGATATCTAATACTTCAGTGTACAATGATACCAATTATATTGGAGTTTTATGTGAAAATATTACTTATATTATTATATACATATATACAAGACATCATTCTTCCTATGATGTTGGTACAGTCTGCCACTGATACTTGACTCACTAACTGACGCTGACAATACAGCATCTTACATCTTTTACCTTGCTATATTCATATTAGAGACAGTTTTCAAATTCCTTCTCCGCAGTGTTACTGTATACTTCTTTGAATTAATTAAAATAATGGTAACTGGTCACTGCAACTGCAGTCTGCATGTACAGTAACAAGCATTGTACTTACCTCATATTTGGGCAGGTATCGAGAGGATCCCTTCACGTGGCGCTTTCTAACAAAGAACAAGAGGTCGTCGCAGTCGATCGCCTGCTCCTCTTGAAACAGGAAGTGACGCACAAACAGATCTGTCCAATATGTAGTTCCTTGTAGCACTACAAAGCCGCTATCTGTAACACGAACAAGAATGCTTGTGTGCTGACCTAGTTGTTCCTACAATTAATATTCTCCAAACTTAATTGCAAGAATCCATTGCGAATTTCAAGTGCAGCACAATCGTTGGATTACTGAATTCGATCCAAATAGTTCATATTGTAACGTACAGTTAAATTAGTAATTATTGTAGATAACAACATGGAAATGTCTGAAGTTAGATTTGTGTACTGTAATATTTTATATATGTATAAGGTATAGGGACCTGTCAGTAAGTCGCTTGGAATGTCTGAATGTAAAATATAAAGTGCCTTCAATGTACACATGAGGAAATGTGTTTTGGTAGTGTAATTGTTATGTTGCTTTAGTTTGCAGTGGCGCCACCACTTTGTGTTATATATTTCCAATTTGTTACTCTTAAATGATTGTAAAAACAATTATAACAAACATGTGTATGCAATTGTACACACAACGTAAACTAATGCATCATAAAGCTATCGAGCACTTTCTATCATCACAGTGTATTAATACCGGCATTAAATTTATTTATTCCAACAATATAATGATTAAATATTTATTGTTCAATGAAATATGATGTATTTAATGCTGTCATTACACAAAAATATTTCTCAAATTTGTGTATAGAAAAATTTCATAATAAAATAATATACATATATGTATATGTATATAATTAAAAGTTAATTTGTTTATTAATATTATAAGTTACTCAAAACATTAACAAACGAAGTAAGATCCCTGAATTCTTTAAAATTGCATGTCAGTAATGCATAAAAGATGATAATATTACAGAAATAACTTCTCAATTCAATAGTAAGCGAACCCATGTTTCTTTGCATCTATTTATTTATTTATTATTTTATTATGAAGCATATTTTTTAAGGAAATATTAAATAGGGGCACATAGACACGAGTACCTGATAATATATTTAACAGTTACGGCTCATTCACACTTACATTAGTTAATGACAGACGTTCCTATAATGCAAATCGAATCGGGTTTTAATACCATTCGTTAAGTCAATTACAGATGATGCATATTGAAACTATTTTTATTACCTATATTAAGTACTATTTACAAAAAAAATGTATTTACTCAATTTGTCAGACTGCTGTCTAATACCCTAGGTAAGAATAAAATCTGAAACCAAGTTAGGAACTAGATGGCGCTGTGCAAATTTGTTCAGAGTTATTTATTTATGACTATTATTAAATAATATAAATACTGTAGGCATTAACAGTATATCTATAATTTTATTAGAATTTACTACGGTAATTATTGGACGTATAAAAAAAATATTCAAATTGTATAATGTCGTAACAATTTGTCCTATGAGATTCGTATTTTTGGACACATGTTTCACTTACGACAATTCATAGGTCCTCCGACAATCGTGTGTATATATTTATGGAAATTTATAGGACAGTAATTACAACGATTTATTTACGATTGGTATTAAAAAGCGATTCGTCGATTGTGAATGAAGCCTTATACACGGCTCATATGCATAATGTTATTCCTATCACAGAAGAAAGCTATTTATTGTGTTAACGCTGAATCTCAGAGTATTTATTGTCAGCTGTATATAAAAAGCTTCTGTTCTGTACCCACATTGCCTTATAAATTAACTTAAGGGAATGCCTAATAATAATATTTTTAATGTATGAAAGTTATTCATACATAGCAGGCTACCAAATTTCGTAGTATGGAAACATACAAAAATGTTTTACTATATCAGAAAAGATAATGCAATATTTTAAAAAACAAAATGTCTGAACTACACATGATATTAATTTTGTAAAAAAATCAATCAATTTTATGTAAATGTATTTTTAATAGTAACTAAGCACATTGCTCTGTCTGTTTCGTGTTGGGAATATAGAGGTGATATTGTAAAAGCTGTTTACATAAAATAAAAATATGCCATTCATAAATAATTCTTTCTGCAAAATCATTTTGTTACACTTTGCCTCGATTTGTCTACCACACAATTATAGTATTTCAAATTTAAAAGAAATTGTTAAAGTATATATTTGGAAAAATATGCCATTCATACATAATTCTTTCTGCGAAACCATTTCGTTACACTTTGCCTGGATTTGTCTATCACACAATTTTTACAGTATTTCAAATTAAAAAAAAATCATAAAGTATTTATTTGGAAGAACTAAGAGAGAATACTTATTCCATTAAGTTATACTGTAAAAAAATGGTTATTTAATATTTAAACAGTTCTTACTAGTTAATTACTGAATGCAGGAAGTGTACTGTCATACAACTAGCTTTCCGTTAGGAAGACGTCTATTATAAACTATCCCGGAAATCCATTGAAACAGTTTGAAGTATCATATCATAACATTACTAAATAAGTGCCAACTTTCATACAATTAAAACGCCACATTTATGTATGACAGAATGATGAACACGCAAACAAAGTTGTTCGGTTTATGTAAAAATACCTACTATGACTGGAAATCTGATTATTAACTTTATTACTAACTGCACTTGCAACTGCATCTGCGTGGATTTTAACTTTATTTTTCTAAAATAAAAGTAGCCAAATTACTCCTTTTTACATCAGCCGCTTGCCAAAAAAAGTCCCGCCAAAATCGGTCCAGCCATTTCAGAGGTTAGCCGGAACAAACAGACAGACAAAAATTGTAAGAAATGTTATTTTGGTGTATGTACCGTATTTATATTCATATGCATGTAGTAAAATACGGTTATTTTAATATTACAAACAGACACTCCAATTTTATTTATATGTATAGATGTCTATGCTTCATAATAAGTACTATGGTTATTTAGAAGACATTTTGGTATATTTAATCTGAAGATTAATTAGTACTACATATTTCCAATTCTCTGGGACAATTCTTCCTTACTTTTCATTCCTATTTTTCTTCCTGGACACTTGTAAAAACATGTAGAAATGATTTAGACAATATTAAATTATTTGTTTATTTTCTACAGGAGTAAAACTTGGTTAATTAAATGTTTAATGATTCCCACCAAAACAGCTTTCCAATACCACTTCCGGACAACCCTATTCGTCGGACACCCTCCGAAAAGGGTGAATCCGGGAAACCCGCTTATATATATATTGCAACCCTAGTTATAACAAACCACTCACACAGAAATAGAACTCTATGTTCTTTGTCATTAAAACTTTAATCGTAAAGCAAAAAAAAATGTACTCCACGCGGCTGGAGAAGTATGAAACTTGGCACAGCGGAATACATGGAGAGGCCATGATATTTTTTTATAATAATATTTAAACAACATTATTGTTAATAATATTACAAATAATGATAGTGTGTATAAACACACTATCATTATTTGACACACATATATCAAATAAAAAAAAAACTATGGTGACTGGACGATCAGTAATTTTACAGCCCCAATAAATAATTACTAACTGTATTACTGAACTGGACGGTGGGTAAAGAATTTGACGTTCATAAGCGGCTAAAATGTCCTACATGAAAAAAATATTTTTGAATTTGAATTTCAAAAAGGTATTTTATAAAACAGACTAATCCGCTAGGAATGATTGTTCTTAGTCGATCAAATAGATGTTAAATATTTTTAGTTGTAATGAGGCTCTATGATATTTGAGCTGTACTGTTGATGTTACATTCCTTGTCGATGCAAGTTTTCTTTATGCATCATATATGAATGAAATAGGATGAGCTATGGAATATAATAGAACTACATACATGTAATGTGTATCTATAACTGTTTGTACCGATGCTGTTGTATTTTAAAGTTCATATTATATGTGTTTTCCTAGAGGTGGCATTATTATTTATTTGACTCCCTCTTACCCCAGACTAAGATATGTTTATTCATCAGACTAAACAACCTTCGATATCCCACAAGCTATGTAATCTATACATATAAATAAAATTGGTGTGTCTGTTTGTAATATTGAAATAACCGTTTTTTAATACATGCATATGAATATAAATACGTTACATACACAAAAAAACATTATTTACAATTTTAGTCTGTTTGCCTGTTTGTTCCGACTAATCTCTGATATGGCTGGACCGATTTTGACGGGACCTTTTTTGGTTGGTAGCTGATGAAATAAGGAGTAACTTAGGCTACTATTATTTTAGAAATATAAAGTTAAATTCCACGCGGACGAAATCGCGGTAACAGCTAGTATATACTAAATGTAATGAAGTGGTAAGGGGAAATAGAGGGGAATGTTAGGTTGACCTCCCCGCGAATGCCCCTGGAAACCATCTAAAAATGAATAACCAGCAATTAACCCCTGCTTATTTAATCACAACGGGCAAACTGAGCTGATCTCATCCTGACCTCCACTGGTGCCCCACCAGCGTGTACCGCTAGTGCAGGCGGGAAATAGTCCAAAAGGATGTCGCCACAAAGGAAGCGGCAGATTTTATAAGCAACTATAAATTAAAAAAAAAGAGTGCAGGCGGGCGAACTATACCATAATCATCAATAAAAAAAAAACAGTAACAATCAAGCAAATCAAGTCACGTCATGAAAGTAGTCAGGCAGTGATGCCAAAATTGTAATGAAACCCATATTTCTATATTAGTCAAATAACGTAAAATCAAAAATGAAAATATAAAGAAATTTTCACATAATAACTATGCATAAGAACCAGAGTGACCGACATAGCCCGAAGAATTGCGACTCTGAAGTGACAATGGATAGGGCACATAGCTCGTAGGACAGATGGCCGTTGGGGCAGTAAAGTCCTCGAGTAGCGACCACGGACCGGAGGACGCAGCGTGGGAAGGCCTCCAGCAAGGTGGACCGACGATCTGGTCAAGATCGCTGGAAGACATTGGATGCGAGCAGCGCAGGACCGATCGTCGTGGAGATCTTTGGGGAAGGCCTATGTCCAGCAGTGGACGTCTTCCGGGCTGCGATGATGAACTGTGCATAACGCACCTTTTTGTATGATAATTATTATTATATTTTTTTATAAATACATTTTAAATATTTTATACT